TAAATTTTATTCAGTCATTTTTTTTTTTAGTTCTCATAAACTTAAATGTAAGGAAACGCTCTCGCACGTGTCAGGATCGCCGAGCGGTCTAAGGCGCTGCAATCAGGTCGCAGTCCACTTGCGTGTTCGGGGGTCCAAATCCCACATCCAGCAATTATATTTAGTTGAGTTATTTTTTTTAGTTCTCATAAAGTAAATTAAAGGAAACGGTTTCTCAAATTTCAGGCTGGCCAAGCAGTCAAAGGCGCTGCGTTCATGTCGAAGTCCACTCGGTTTTGGCGTGGGTTCGAATCCCACTTCTGATAATGTAATTTTATTGAGTCATTATTTTTTTTAGTTTTCATAAACTAAATGTAAGGCAAAGATCTTTCATAGGTTAAGATTCCTGAGTGGTCTAAAGCGCTGCGTTCAGGTCGCAGTAAAATTCTGCAGGCATTGTTTCGGATTTCACGTTTGACAATTATAATTCATTCATTCATTTTTTAAGTTCTCATTAATTAAATGAAAGGTAACACTCTCCCCGTGTCAGGATGGCCGAGCGGTCTAAGGCGCTGCGTTCAGGTCGCAGTCCACTTGTGTGGGCGTTGGGTTCGAATCCCACTTCTGACAATGTATTTCTTTCAGTCATTTTTTGAGGTTAAAAACTACATGCAAGGGAAAGCTATTTTGCGTGTCAGGATGGCCGAGCGGTCTAAGGCGCTGCGTTCAGGTCGCAGTCCACTTCTGTGGGCGTGGGTTCGAATCCCACTTCTGACAATAAAATTTTATTCACATACATTTTTTAGGTTAAAAACTAAATGTAAGGGAAAAACTCTTTCACATGTCAGGATGGCCGATCGGTCTAAGGCGCTGCGTTTAGATCACATTCCACTTCTGTGGGCGTGGGTTCGAATCCCACTTCTGACAATAAAATTTTATTCAGTCATTTTTTTTTAGTTCTCATAACTTAAATGTAAGGAAACGCTCTCGCACGTGTCAGGATGGCCGAGCGGTCTAAGGCGCTGCAATCAGGTCGCAGTACACTTGCGTGTTCGGGGGTCCAACTCCCACGTCGAGCAATTATATTTAGTTGAGTTATTTTTTTTAGTTCTTTTAAAGTAAATTAAATGAAACGTTTTCTCAAATTTCAGGATTTCCAAGCGGTCAAAGGCGCTGCGTTCATGTCGAAGTCCACTCGGTTTTGGCGTGGGTTCGAATCCCACTTCAGATAATGTAATTTTTTTGAGTCATTTTTTTTTAGTTTTCATAAACTAAATGTAAGGCAAAGATCTTTCATAGGTTAAGATTCCTGAGTGGTCTAAAGCGCTGGCGTTCAGGTCGCAGTAAAATTCTGCAGGCGTTGTTTCGGTTTTCACGTTTGACAATTATATTTCATTCATTCATTTTTTTAAGTTCTCATTTATTAAATGAAAGGTAACACTGTTTCAGGATCGCCGAGTGGTCTAAGGCGCTGCTTTCAGGTCGCAGTCCACTTGTGTGGGCGTGGGTTCGAATCCCACTTCTGACAATGCATTTTTATTCAGTCATTTTTAGAGGTTAAAGAACTAAATGCAAGGGAAAGCTATTTTGCGTGTCAGGATGGACGAGCGGTTTAAGGCGCTGCAATCAGGTCGTCTAGTCCACTGCGTGGGTTCGAATCCCACTTCTGACAATGTATTTCTTTTAGTCATTTTTTTGAGGTTAAAAACTTTATGCAAGGGAAAGCTATTTTGCGTGTCAGGATGGCCGAGCGGTCTAAGGCGCTGCGTTCAGGTCGCAGTCCAGGGCGTGGGTTCGAATCCCACTTCTGACAATAAAATTTTATTCAGTCATTTTTTTTTTTTAGTTCTCATAACTTAAATGTAAGGAAACGCTCTCGCACGTGTCAGGATGGCCGAGCGGTCTAAGGCGCTGCAATCAGGTCGCAGTCCACTTGCGTGTTCGGGGGTCCAAATCCCACATCCAGCAATTATATTTAGTTGAGTTATTTTTTTTAGTTCTCATAAAGTAAATTAAAGGAAACGGTTTCTCAAATTTCAGGCTGGCCAAGCAGTCAAAGGTGCTGCGTTCATGTCGAAGTCCACTCGGTTTTGGCGTGGGTTCGAATCCCACTTCTGATAATGTAATTTTATTGAGTCATTATTTTTTTAGTTTTCATAAACTAAATGTAAGGCAAAGATCTTTCATAGGTTAAGATTCCTGAGTGGTCTAAAGCGCTGCGTTCAGGTCGCAGTAAAATTCTGCAGGCGTGGTTTCGGATTCCACATTTGACAATTATATTTCATTCATTCATTTTTTAAGTTCTCATTAATTAAATGAAAGGTAACACTCTCCCACGTGTCAGGATGGCCGAGCGGTCTAAGGCGCTGCGTTCAGGTCGCAGTCCACTTGTGTGGGCGTGGGTTCGAATCCCACTTCTGACAATGTATTTTTATTCAGTCATTTTTTTTTAGGTTAAAAACTAAATGCAAGGGAAAGCTATTTTGCGTGTCAGGATGGCCGAGCGGTCTAAGGCGCTGCGTTCAGGTCGCAGTCCACTTCTGGGCGTGGGTTCGAATCCCACTTTGACAATAAAATTTTATTCAGTCATTTTTTTAGGTTCCAAAAACTAAATGTAAGGGAAAACTCTTTCACATGTCAGGATGGCCGAGCGGTCTAAGGCGCTGCGTTCAGGTCGCAGTCCACTTCTGTGGGCGTGGGTTCGAATCCCACTTCTGACAATAAAATTTATTCACATACTTTTTTTAGGTTCAAAAACTTAAATGTAAGGGAAAACTATTTCACGTGTCAGGATTTGCCGATCGGTCTAAGGCGCTGCGTTTAGGTCACATTCCACTCCTGTGGGCGTGGGTTCGAATCCCACTTCTGACAATAAAATTTTATTCAGTCATTAATTTTTTAGTTCTCATATAACTTAAATGTAAGGAAACGCTTAACGCACGTGTCAGGATCGCCGAGCGGTCTAAGGCGCTGCAATCAGGTCGCAGTCCACTTGCGTGTTCGGGGGTCCAAATCCCACGTCAAGCAATTATATTTAGTTATTATTTTTAGTTCTCATAAAGTAAATTAAAGGAAACGTTTGTTCAAATTTCAGGCTGGCCAAGCAATCAAAGGTGCTGCGTTCATGTTGAAGTCCACTCGGTTTTGGCGTGGGTTCGAATCCCCCTTCTGATAATGTAATTTTATTGAGTCATTATTTTTTTTTAGTTTTCATAAACTAAATGTAAGGCAAAGATCTTTCATAGGTTAAGATTCCTGAGTGGTCTAAAGCGCGGCGTTCAGGTCGCAGTAAAATTCTGCAGGCGTTGTTTCGGATTTCACGTTTGACAATTATATTTCATTCATTCATTTTTTAAGTTCTCATTAATTAAATGAAAGGTAACACTCTCCCACGTTTCAGGATGGCCGAGCGGTCTAAGGCGCTGCGTTCAGGTCGCAGTCCACTTGTGTGGGCGTGGGTTTGAATCCCACTTCTGACAATGTATTTCTATTGTCATTTTTTGAGGTTAAAGAACTAAATGCAAGGGAAAGCTATTTTGCGTGTCAGGATGGCCGAGCGGTTTAAGGCGCTGCTATCAGGTCGTTGTCCACTTGCGTGGGCGTTGGTTCGAATCCCACTTCTGACAATGTTTTTTTTCAGTCATTTTTTGAGGTTAAAAACTACATGCAAGGGAAAGCTATTTTGCGTGTCAGGATGGCCGAGCGGTCTAAGGCGCTGCGTTCAGGTCGCAGTCCACTTCTTTGGGCGTGGGTTCGAATCCCACTTCTGACAATAAAATTTTATTCACATATTTTTTTTTAGGTTCAAAAACTAAATGTAAGGTAAAACTCTTTCACTTGTCAGGATGGCCGAGCGGTCTAAGGCGCTGCGTTTAGATCACATTCCACTTCTGTGGGCGTGGGTTCGATTCCCACTTCTGACAATAAAATTTTATTGAGTCATTAATTTTTTTTTAGTTTTCATAAACTAAATGTAAGGCAAAGATCTTTCATAGGTTCAGATTCCGAGTGGTCTAAGGCGCTGCGTTCAGTTCGCAGTAAAACTTCTGTGGGCGTGGTTTCGATTCCCACTTCTGACAATTATATTTCATTCAGTCATTTTTTTTTTAGTTCTTAATTAAAATGTAAAGGAAACTCTCCCACGTGTCAGGATGGCCGAGCGGTCTAAGGCGCTGCGTTCAGGTCGCAGTCCACTTCTGTGGGCGTGGGTTCGAATCCCACTTCTGACAATAGAATTTTATTCAGTCATTTTTTTTTAGTTCTCATAACTTAAATGTAAGGGCACGTGTCAGGATGGCCGAGCGGTCCAGTCCACTTGCGTGTTCGGGGTCCAACTCCCACGTCAGCAATTATATTTAGTTATTTTTTTTTTTGTTCTCATAAAGTAAATTAAAGGAAACGTTTTCTCAATTTCAGGCTGGCCAAGCGGTCAAAGGCGCTGCGTTCATGTCGAAGTCCACTCGGTTTTGGCGTGGGTTCGAATCCCACTTCTGATAATGTAATTTTATTGAGTCATTATTTTTTTAGTTTTCATAAACTAAATGTAAGGCAAAGATCTTTCATAGGTTAAGATTCTGAGTGGTCTAAAGCGCTGGCGTTCAGGTCGCAGTAAAATTCTGCAGGCGTTGGTTTCGGATTTCACGTTTGACAATTATATTTCATTCATTCATTTTTTAAGTTCTCATTAATTAAATGAAAGGTAACACTCTCCCACGTTTCAGGATGGCCGAGCGGTCTAAGGCGCTGCGTTCAGGTCGCAGTCCACTTCTGTGGGCGTGGGTTCGAATCCCACTTCTGACAATGTATTTTATTCAGTCATTTTTTTTTTTTAGTTAAAGAACTAAATGCAAGGGAAAGCTATTTTGCGTGTCAGGATGGCCGAGCGGTCTAAGGCGCTGCGTTCAGGTCGCAGTCCACTTGTGTGGGCGTGGGTTCGAATCCCACTTCTGACAATAAAATTTTATTCAGTCTATTTTTTTTTAGTTCTCATAACTTAAATGTAAAGAAACGCTCTTTTGCGTGTCAGGATGGCCGAGCGGTCTAAGGCGCAGCAATCAGGTCGCAGTTCTTTGTGGGGCGTGGGTTTGAAACCCTTTTCTGACAATGTATTTCTTCAGTCATTTTTTGAGGTTAAAAACTAAATGCAAGGGAAAGCTATTTTGCGTGTCAGGATGGCCGAGCGGTCTAAGGCGCTGCGTTTAGATCACATTCCACTTCTGTGGGCGTGGGTTCGATTCCCACTTCTGACAATAAAATTTTATTCAGTCATTTTTTTTTTTTTAGTTCTCATAACTTAAATGTAAGGAAACGCTCTCGCACGTGTCAGGATCGCCGAGCGGTCTAAGGCGCTGCAATCAGGTCGCAGTCCACTTGCGTGTTCGGGGGTCCAAATCCCACGTCGAGCAATTATATTTAGTTGAGTTATTTTTTTAGTTCTCATAAAGTAAATTAAAGGAAACGTTTTCTCAAATTTCAGGCTGGCCAAGCGGTCAAAGGTGCTGCGTTCATGTCGAAGTCCACTCGGTTTTGGCGTGGGTTCGAATCCCACTTCTGATAATGTAATTTTATTGAGTCATTATTTTTTTTAGTTTTCATAAACTAAATGTAAGGCAAAGATCTTTCATAGGTTAAGATTCCTGAGTGGTCTAAAGCGCTCCGTTCAGGTCGCAGTAAAATTCTGCAGGCGAGGTTTCGGATTTCACGTTTGACAATTATATTTCATTCATTCATTTTTTAAGTTCTCATTAATTAAATGAAAGGTAACACTCTCCCACGTGTCAGGATGGCCGAGCGGTCTAAGGCGCTGCGTTCAGGTCGCAGTCCACTTGTGTGGGCGTGGGTTCGAATCCCACTTCTGACAATGCATTTTTATTCAGTCATTTTTAGAGGTTAAAGAACTAAATGCAAGGGAAAGCTATTTTGCGTGTCAGGATGGACGAGCAGTTTAAGGCGTGGCAATCAGGTCGATGTCCACTTGCGTGGGCGTTGGTTCGAATCCCACTTCTGACAATGTATTTCTTTTAGTCATTTTTTGAGGTTAAAAAACTTTATGCAAGGGAAAGCTATTTTGCGTGTCAGGATGGCCGAGCGGTCTAAGGCGCTGCGTTCAGGTCGCAGTCCACTTCTTTGGGCGTGGGTTCGAATCCCACTTCTGACAATAAAATTTTATTCACATACTTTTCTTAGGTTCCAAAAACTAAATGTAAGGGAAAACTTTTCACATGTCAGGATGGCCGATCGGTCTAAGGCGCTGCGTTTAGATCACATTCCACTTCTGTGGGCGTGGGTTCGAGTCCCACTTCTGACAATAGAATTTTATTCAGTCATTTTTTTTTAGTTCTCATAACTTAAATGTAAGGAAACGCTCTCGCACGTGTCAGGATGGCCGAGCGGTCTAAGGCGCTGCAATCAGGTCGCAGTACACTTGCGTGTTCGGGGGTCCAACTCCCACGTCGAGCAATTATATTTAGTTGAGTTATTTTTTTTAGTTCTCATAAAGTAAATTAAAGAAAACGTTTTCTCAAATTTCAGGATGGCCAATAGGTCAAAGGCGCTGCGTTCATGTCGAAGTCCACTCCGGTTTTGGCGTGGGTTCGAATCCCACTTCTGATCATGTAATTTTATTGAGTCATTATTTTTTTAGTTTTCATAAACTAAATGTAAGGCAAAGATCTTTCATAGGTTAAGATTCCTGAGTGGTCGAAAGCGCTGCGTTCAGGTCGCAGTAAAATTCTGCAGGCGTGGTTTCGGATTTCACGTTTGACAATTATATTTCATTCATTCATTTTTTAAGTTCTCATTAATTAAATGAAAGGAAACACTCTCCCACGTGTCAGGATGGCCGAGCGGTCTAAGGCGCTGCGTTCAGGTCGCAGTCCACTTGTGTGGGCGTGGGTTCGAATCCCACTTCTGACAATGTATTTTTATTCAGTCATTTTTTTTTAGTTTAAAGAAATTAAATGAAAGGAAACACTTTGCGTGTCAGGATGGCCGAGCGGTCTAAGGCGCTGCGTTCAGGTCGCAGTCCACTTGTGTGGGCGTGGGTTCGAATCCCACTTCTGACAATAAAATTTTATTCAGTCTATTTTTTTTTAGTTCTCATAACTTAAATGTAAAGAAACGCTCTCGCACGTGTCAGGATGGCCGAGCGGTCTAAGGCGCTGCAATCAGGTCGCAGTCCACTTGCGTGTTCGGGGGTCCATAACCCACGTCAAGCAATTATATTTAGTTGAGTTATTTTTTTTAGTTCTCATAAAGTAAATTAAAGGAAACTTTTTCTCAAATTTCAGGCTGGCCAAGCAGTCAAAGGTGCTGCGTTCATGTCGAAGTCCACTCGGTTTTGGCGTGGGTTCGAATCCCACTTTTGATAATGTAATTTTATTGAGTCATTATTTTTTTTTAGTTTTCATAAACTAAATGTAAGGCAAAGATCTTTCATAGGTTAAGATTCCTGAGTGGTCTAAAGCGCGGCGTTCAGATCGCAGTAAAATTGTGCAGCGTTGTTTCGGATTTCACGTTTGAGAATTATATTTCATTCATTCATTTTTTAAGTTCTCATTAATTAAATGAAAGGTAACACTCTCCCACGTTTCAGGATGGCCGAGCGGTCTAAGGCGCTGCGTTCAGGTCGCAGTCCACTTGTGTGGGCGTGGGTTTGAATCCCACTTCTGACAATGTATTTTATTCAGTCATTTTTTGAGGTTAAAGAACTAAATGCAAGGGAAAGCTATTTTGCGTGTCAGGATGGCCGAGCGGTTTTAAGGCGCTGCGTTCAGGTCGCAGTCCACTTCTGTGGGCGTGGGTTCGAATCCCACTTCTGACAATAGAATTTTCTTCAGTCATTTTTTTTTAGTTTCATAACTTAAATGTAAGGAAACGCTCTCGCACGTGTCAGGATGGCCGAGCGGTCTAAGGCGCTGCAATCAGGTCGCAGTCCACTTGCGCGTCCGGGGTTCAACTCCCATGGTTGAGTTTTTTTTTTAGTTCTTATAAAGTAAATTAAAGGAAACGTTTTCTCAAATTTCAGGATGGCGAGCGGTCAAAGGCGCTGCGTTCATGTCGAAGTCAGTTTGAATCCCACTTCTGTCATGGGCGTTTTCATAAACTAAATGTAAGGCAAAGATCTTTCATAGAATCCCACTTCAGACAAAAATGGTTTATTCACATTTGACAATTATTTTCATTCATTCAAAAGTTCTCATTTAAAAATGAAAGGAAAACTCTTTTGCACGTGTCAGGATGGCCGAGCGGTCTAAGGCGCTGCGTTCAGGTCGCAGTCCACTTCTGTGGGCGTGGGTTCGAATCCCACTTCTGACAATAAAATTTTATTCAGTCATTTTTTTTTAGTTCTCATAACTTAAATGTAAGAAACGCTCTCGCACGTGTCAGGATGGCCGAGCGGTCTAAGGCGCTGCAATCAGGTCGCAGTACACTTGCGCGTTCGGGGGTCCAACTCCCCCGTCGAGCTATTATATTTAGTTCAGTTATTTTTTTTTAGTTCTCATAAAGTAAATTAAAGGAAACGTTTTCTCAAATTTCAGGATGGCCAAGCGGTCAAAGGCGCTGCGTTCATGTCGAAGTCCACTTCGGTTTTGGCGTGGGTTCGAATCCCACTTCTGATCATGTAATTTTATTGAGTCATTATTTTTTTTTTAGTTTTCATAAACTAAATGTAAGGCAAAGATCTTTCATAGGTTAAGATTCCTGAGTGGTCTAAAGCGCGGCGTTCAGGTCGCAGTAAAATTCTGCAGGCGTTGTTTCGGATTTCACGTTTGACAATTATATTTCATTCATTCATTTTTTAAGTTCTCATTAATTAAATGAAAGGTAACACTCTCCCACGTTTCAGGATGGCCGAGCGGTCTAAGGCGCTGCGTTCAGGTCGCAGTCCACTTGAGTGGGCGTGGGTTAGAATCCCACTTCTGACAATGTATTTTATTCAGTCATTTTTTGAGGTTAAAGAACTAAATGCAAGGGAAAGCTATTTTGCGTGTCAGGATGGCCGAGCGGTTTAAGGCGCTGCAATCAGGTCCTAGTCCACTTGCGTGGGCGTGGGTTCGAATCCCACTTCTGACAATAAAATTTTATTCACATACTTTTCTTAGGTTCCAAAAACTAAATGTAAGTTAAAACTCTTTCACATGTCAGGTGGCCGATCGGTCTAAAGCGCTGCGTTTAGATCACCTTCCACTTCTGTGGGCGTGGGTTCGAATCCCACTTCTGACAATAGAATTTTATTCAGTCATTTTTTTTAGTTCTCATAACTTAAATGTAAGGAAACGCTCTCGCACGTGTCAGGATCGCCGAGCGGTCTAAGGCGCTGCAATCAGGTCGCAGTACACTTGCGTGTTCGGGGGTCCAACTCCCACGTCGAGCAATTATATTTAGTTGAGTTATTTTTTTTAGTTCTCATAAAGTAAATTAAAGGGAACATTTTCTCAAATTTCAGGATGGCCGAGCAGTCTAAAACGCTGCGTTCAGGTCGCAGTCCACTTGTGTGGGCGTGGGTTCGAATCCCACTTCTGACAATGCAATTTTATTCAGTCATTTTTTTTAGAGGTTAAAGAACTAAATGCAAGGGAAAGCTATTTTGGTGTCAGGATGGACGAGCGGTTTAAGGCGCTGCAATCAGGTCGTAGTCCACTTGCGTGGGCGTTGGTTCGAAATCCCACTTCTGACAATGTATTTCTTTCAGTCATTTTTTGAGGTTAAAAAACTTTAAATGCAAGGGAAATCTATTTTGCGTGTCAGGATGGCCGAGCGGTCGAAGGCGCTGCGTTCAGGTCGCAGTCCACTTCTGTGGGCGTGGGTTCGAATCCCACTTCTGACAATAAAATTTTATTCAGTCATTTTTTTTTTTAGTTCTCATAACTTAAATGTAAGGAAACGCTCTCGCACGTGTCAGGATGGCCGAGCGGTCTAAGGCGCTGCAATCAGGTCGCAGTCCACTTGCGTGTTCGGGGGTCCAAATCCCACTCGAGCAATTATATTTAGTTGAGTTATTTTTTTTTTAGTTCTCATAAAGTAAATTAAAGGAAACGTTTTCTCAAATTTCAGGATGGCCAAGCGGTCAAAGGCGCTGCGTTCATGTCGAAGTCCACTCGGTTTTGGCGTGGGTTCGAATCCCACTTCTGATAATGTAATTTTATTGAGTCATTATTTTTTTTAGTTTTCATAAACTAAATGTAAGGCAAAGATCTTTCATAGGTTAAGATTCCTGAGTGGTCTAAAGCGCGGCGTTCAGGTCGCAGTAATTCTGCAGGCGTTGTTTCGGATTTCACGTTTGACAATTATATTTCATTCATTCATTTTTTAAGTTCTCATTAATTAAATGAAAGGTAACACTCTCCCACGTTTCAGGATGGCCGAGCGGTCTAAGGCGCTGCGTTCAGGTCGCAGTCCACTTGTGTGGGCGTGGGTTTGAATCCCACTTCTGACAATGTATTTCTATTGTCATTTTTTGAGGTTAAAAACTAAATGCAAGGTAAAGCTATTTTGCGTGTCAGGATGGCCGAGCGGTCTAAGGCGCTGCGTTCAGGTCGCAGTCCACTTCTGTGGGCGTGGGTTCGAATCCCACTTCTGACAATAAAATTTTATTCACATACTTTTCTTAGGTTCCAAAAACTAAATGTAAGGGAAAACTCTTTCACATGTCAGGATGGCCGATCGGTCTAAGGCGCTGCGTTTAGATCACATTCCACTTCTGTGGGCGTGGGTTCGAATCCCACTTCTGACAATAAATTTTATTCAGTCATTTTTTTTAGTTCTCATAACTTAAATGTAAGGAAACGCTCTCGCACGTGTCAGGATGGCCGAGCGGTCTAAGGCGCTGCAATCAGGTCGCAGTACACTTGCGTGTTCGGGGGTCCAACTCCCACGTCGAGCAATTATATTTAGTTGAGTTATTTTTTTAGTTCTCATAAAGTAAATTAAAGGAAACGTTTTCTCAAATTTCAGGATGGCCAAGCGGTCAAAGGCGCGATGTTCATGTCGAAGTCCACTCGGATTTGGCGTGGGTTCGAATCCCACTTCTCATCATGTAATTTTATTGAGTCATTATTTTTTTAGTTTTCATAAACTAAATGTAAGGCAAAGATCTTTCATAGGTTAAGATTCCTGAGTGGTCTAAAGCGCTGCGTTCAGGTCGCAGTAAAATTCTGCAGGCGTGGTTTCGGATTCCACATTTGACAATTATATTTCATTCATTCATTTTTTAAGTTCTCATTTAATTAAATGAAAGGAAACACTCTCCCACGTGTCAGGATGGCCGAGCGGTCTAAGGCGCTGCGTTCAGGTCGCAGTCCACTTGTGTGGGCGTGGGTTCGAATCCCACTTCTGACAATAAATTTTATTCAGTCTTTTTTTTTTTAGTTCTCATAACTTAAATGTAAAGAAAACGCTTCGCACGTGTCAGGATGGCCGAGCGGTTAAGGCGCTGCAATCAGGTCGCAGTTTGCGTGTTCGGGGGTCCAACTCCCACGTCGAGCAATTATATTTAGTTATTTTTTTTTTAGTTCTCATAAAGTAAATTAAAGAAACGTTTTCTCAAATGTCAGGATGGCCAAGCGGTCAAAGGCGCTGCGTTCATGTCGAAGTCCACTCGGTTTTGGCGTGGGTTCGAATCCCACTTCTGATAATGTAATTTTATTGAGTCATTATTTTTTTAGTTTTCATAAACTAAATGTAAGGCAGAGATTTTTCATAGGTTAAGATTCTGCAGGCGTGGTTTCGGATTCCACATTTGACAATTATATTTCATTCATTCATTTTTTTAAGTTCTCATTAATTAAATGAAAGGAAACACTCTCCCACGTGTCAGGATGGCCGAGCGGTCTAAGGCGCTGCGTTCAGGTCGCAGTCCACTTGTGTGGGCGTGGGTTCGAATCCCACTTCTGACAATGTATTTTTATTCAGTCATTTTTTTTAGGTTTAAAAACTAAATGTAAAGGGAAAGCTCTTTTGCACATGTCAGGATGGCCGAGCGGTCTAAGGCGCTGCGTTCAGGTCGCAGTCCACTGCGTTTAGGGTTCGATCACTTCTGACAATAAAATTTTATTCCATACATTTTTTAGGTTCTTCTTTCACATGTCAGGGGCGAGCGGGTTTTAGGTCACATCCCACTTCTGACAATACAATATTTTATTCAGTCACATTTTTTTAGTTCTCATAACTAAATATAAATCGCACGTGTCTGGATGGCCGAGCGGTCTAAGGCGCTGCAATCAGGTCGCAGTCACTTGCGTGTTCGTGGGTCCAACTCCCACGTCGAGCAGGCCGCGGTAGCCGAGTGGTATAGGTATCGGACCGTGGCTTGCTTTGTCACGGGGTCGAGCCCAGTACCACAAAAAAGACCCGCCGTGTAGGGCAGCGATGCACGTTAAATCTGTCGAGTGAAACGTCCTCCCGTTGGTGTGGTAGTTAGGAGAGGGGGTGCCAGCTTGTCGTCCACGTTTGACCATGGTTTAAAATTACGTGGTCAGTCGCCAAAAAATGCCCTCGTGTAGCTGAACAGTGCGACGTTAATATTCAAATCAATCAACCCACGTCGAGCAATTATATTTAGTTATTTTTTTTAGTTCTCATAAAGTAAATTAAAGGAAACGTTTTCTCAAATTTCAGGATGGCCAAGCGGACAAAGGCGCTGCGTTCATGTCGATTTCCACTCGGTTTTGGCGTGGGTTCGAATCCCACTTCTGATAATGTAATTTTATTCAGTCATTATTTTTTTAGTTTTCATAAACTAAATGTAAGGCAAAGATCTTTCATAGGTTAAGATTCCTGAGTGGTCTAAAGCGCTGCGTTCAGGTCGCAGTAAAATTCTGCTGGCGTGGTTTCGGATTCCACATTTGACAATTATATTTCATTCATTCATTTTTTAAGTTCTCATTAATTAAATGAAAGGTAACACTCGCCCACGTGTCAGGATGGCCGAGCGGTCTAAGGCGCTGCGTTCAGGTCGCAGTGCACTTTTGTGGGCGTGGGTTCGAATCCCACTTCTGACAATGTATTTTATTCAGTCATTTTTTGAGGTTAAAGAACTAAATGCAAGGTAAAGCTATTTTGCGTGTCAGGATGGCCGAGCGGTGTAAGGCGCTGCAATCAGGTCGAAGTCCACTTGCGTGGGCGTGGGTTCGAATCCCACTTCTGACAATGTATTTCTTTCAGTCATTTTTTGAGGTTAAAAAACTAAATGCAAGGGAAAGCTATTTTGCGTGTCAGGATGGCCGAGCGGTCTAAGGCGCTGCGTTCAGGTCGCAGTCCACTTCTTTGGGCGTGGGTTCGAATCCCACTTCTGACAATAAAATTTTATTCACATACTTTTTTTTAGGTTCCAAAAACTAAATGTAAAGGGAAAACTCTTTCACATGTCAGGATGGCCGATCGGTCTAAGGCGCTGCGTTTAGATCACATTCCACTTCTGTGGGCGTGGGTTCGAATCCCACTTCTGACAATAAAATTTTATTCAGTCATTTTTTTTTTTTTTCATAAACTAAATGTAAGGAAAGCTCTTTCATAGTGTCAAGATTCCTGGCCGAGGTCTAAAGCTCGCTGCGTTCAGTTCGCAGTAAAATTCTGCAGGCGTGGTTTCGGATTTCACGTTTGACAATTATATTTCATTCATTCATTTTTTTAGTTGTCATTAAAACTAAATGAAAGGTAACACTTCCCACGTGTCAGGATGGCCGAGCGGTCTAAGGCGCTGCGTTTAGGTCGCAGTCCACTTCTGTGGGCGTGGGTTCGAATCCCACTTCTGACAATAGAATTTTATTCAGTCATTTTTTTTTTAGTTCTCATAACTTAAATGTAAGGAAATGCTCTCGCACGTGTCTGGATGGCCGAGCGGTCTAAGGCGCTGCAATCAGGTCGCAGTACACTTGCGTGTTCGGGGGTCCAACTCCCACGTCGAGCAATTATATTTAGTTGAGTTATTTTTTTTAGTTCTCATAAAGTAAATTAAAGGAAACGTTTTCTCAAATTTCAGGATGGCCAAGCGGTCAAAGGCGCTGCGTTCATGTCGAAGTCCACTCGGTTTTGGCGTGGGTTCGAATCCCACTTCTGATAATGTAATTTTATTGAGTCATTATTTTTTTAGTTTTCATAAACTAAATGTAAGGCAAAGATCTTTCATAGGTTAAGATTCCTGAGTGGTCTAAAGCGCTGCGTTCAGGTCGCAGTAAAATTCTGCAGGCGTGGTTTCGGATTTCACGTTTGACAATTATATTTCATTCATTCATTTTTTAAGTTCTCATTAATTAAATGAAAGGTAACACTCTCCCACGTGTCAGGATGGCCGAGCGGTCTAAGGCGCTGCGTTCAGGTCGCAGTCCACTTGTGTGGGCGTGGGTTCGAATCCCACTTCTGACAATAAAATTTTATTCAGTCATTTTTTTTTAGTTCTCAAAAACTAAATGCAAGGAAAGCTATTTTTTGCGTGTCAGGATGGCCGAGCGGTCTAAGGCGCTGCGTTCAGGTCGCAGTCCACTTGTGTGGGCGTGGGTTCGAATCCCACTTCTGACAATAAAATTTTATTCAGTCATTTTTTTTTTTAGTTCTCATAACTTAAATGTAAAGAAACGCTCTCGCACGTGTCAGGATGGGCCGAGCGGTCTAAGGCGCTGCATTCAGGTCGCAGTACACTTGCGTGTTAGGGGTCCAACTCCCACGTCGAGCAATTATATTTAGTTATTTTTTTTTAGTTCTCATAAAGTAAATTAAAGGAAACGTTTTCTCAAATTTCAGGATGGCCAAGCGGTCAAAGGCGCTGCGTTCATGTCGAAGTCCACTCGGTTTTGGCGTGGGTTCGAATCCCACTTCTGATAATATAATTTTATTGAGTCATTATTTTTTTAGTTTTCATAAACTAAATGTAAGGCAAAGATCTTTCATAGGTTAAGATTCCTGAGTGGTCTAAAGCGCTGCGTTCAGGTCACAGTAAAATTCTGCAGGCGTAGTTTCGGATTCCACATTTGACAAATATATTTCATTCATTCATTTTTTAAGTTCTCATTAATTAAATGAAAGGTAACACTCTCCCACGTTTCAGGATGGCCGAGCGGTCTAAGGCGCTGCGTTCAGGTCGCAGTCCACTTGTGTGGGCGTGGGTTCGAATCCCACTTCTGACAATAAAATTTTATTCACATACTTTTCTTAGGTTCCAAAAACTAAATGTAAGGGAAAACTCTTTCACTTGTCAGGATGGCCGATCGGTCTAAGGCACTGCGTTTAGATCACATTCCACTTCTGTGGGCGTGGGTTCGAATCCCACTTCTGACAATAAAATTTTATTCAGTCATTTTTTTTTTTTTTAGTTCTCATAACTTAAATGTAAGGAAACGCTCTCGCACGTGTCAGGATGGCCGAGCGGTCTAAGGCGCTGCAATCAGGTCGCAGTCCACTTGCGTGTTCGGGGGTCCAAATCCCACGTCCAGCAATTATATTTAGTTGAGTTATTTTTTTTTAGTTCTCATAAAGTAAATTAAAGGAAACGTTTTCTCAAATTTCAGGCTGGCCAAGCAGTCAAAGGTGCTGCGTTCATGTCGAAGTCCACTCGGTTTTGGCGTGGGTTCGAATCCCACTTCTGATAATGTAATTTTATTGAGTCATTATTTTTTTAGTTTTCATAAACTAAATGTAAGGCAAAGATCTTTCATAGGTTAAGATTCCTGAGTGGTCTAAAGCGCGGCGTTCAGGTCGCAGTAAAATTCTGCAGGCATTGTTTCGATTTCACGTTTGACAATTATATTTCATTCATTCATTTTTTAAGTTCTCATTAATTAAATGAAAGGTAACACTCTCCCACGTTTCAGGATGGCCGAGCGGTCTAAGGCGCTGCGTTCAGGTCGCAGTCCACTTGTGTGGGCGTGGGTTTGAATCCCACTTCTGACAATGTATTTCTATTGTCATTTTTTGAGGTTAAAGAACTAAATGCAAGGTAAAGCTATTTTGCGTGTCAGGATGGCCGAGCGGTTTAAGGCGCTGCAATCAGGTCCTAGTCCACTTGCGCGTGGGTTCGAATCCCACTTCTGACAATGTATTTTTTCAGTCATTTTTTGAGGTTAAAAACTACATGCAAGGGAAAGCTATTTTGCGTGTCAGGATGGCCGAGCGGTCTAAGGCGCTGCGTTCAGGTCGCAGTCCACTTCTGTGGGCGTGGGTTCGAATCCCACTTCTGACAATAAAATTTTATTCACATACTTTTCTTAGGTTCCAAAAACTAAATGTAAGGGAAAACTCTTTCACATGTCAAGATGCCTGATCGGTCTAAGGCGCTGCGTTTAGATCACAATCCACTTCTGTGGGCGTGGGTTCGAATCCCACTTCTGACAATAAATTTTATTCAGTCATTTTTTTTTAGTTCTCATAACTTAAATGTAAGGAAACGCTCTCGCACGTGTCAGGATGGCCGAGCGGTCTAAGGCGCTGCAATCAGGTCGCAGTACACTTGCGTGTTCGGGGGTCCAACTCCCACGTCGAGCAATTATATTTAGTTATTATTTTTTTTTTTTTTTAGTTCTCATAAAGTAAATTAAAGGAAACGTTTTCTCAAATTTCAGGATGGCCTAGCGGTCAAAGGCGCTGCGTTCATGTCGAAGTCCACTCGGTTTTGGCGTGGGTTCGAATCCCACTTCTGATAATGTAATTTTATTGAGTCATTATTTTTTTTTAGTTTTCATAAACTAAATGTAAGGCAAAGATCTTTCATAGGTTAAGATTCCTGAGTGGTCTAAAGCGCTGCGTTCAGTTCGCAGTAAAATTCTGCAGGCGTGGTTTCGGATTTCACGTTTGACAATTATATTTCATTCATTCATTTTTTAAGTTCTCATTAATTAAATGAAAGGTAACACTCTCCCACGTGTCAGGATGGCCGAGCGGTCTAAGGCGCTGCGTTCAGGTCGCAGTCCACTTGTGTGGGCGTGGGTTCGAATCCCACTTCTGACAATGTATTTCTTATTCAGTCATTTTTTGAGGTTAAAAACTAAATGCAAGGGAAAGCTATTTTGCGTGTCAGGATGGCCGAGCGGTCGGCGCTGCGTTCAGGTCGCA